CCTAACCCTAACCTCCATTAGCCACTAACCCTAAACCCTCCATTAGCACTAACCCTAACCCTCCCTTAGCCACTAACCCTAACCCTCCATTAGCACTAACCATAACCCTCCATTAGCACTAACCCTAACCCTCCATTTGCGTTCAGGCCAGGTAGCCTATAGGACTACTTCTATGCGTGCGCCTCCTTACCCTAACCCTAACCCTCCATTAGCACTAACCCTAACCCTAACCCTCCATTAGCACTAACCCTAACCCTCCATTAGCGTTCAGGCCAGGTAGCCTCTAGGACTACTTCTATGCGTGCGCCTCCTTTACCCTAACCCTCCATTAGCGTTCAGGCCAGGTAGCCTATAGGACTACTTCTATGCGTGCGCCTCCTTAACCCTAACCCTCCATTAGCGTTCAGGCCAGGTAGCCTATAGGACTACTTCTATGCGTGCGCCTCCTTACCCTAACCCTCCATTAGCGTTCAGGGGGCCAGGTTAGCCTAGGGACTACTTCATGCGTGACGCCTCCTTTACCCTAACCCTCCATTAGGTCAGAGCCAGGTAGCCTATGGGGAGACTTCTATGCGTGCGCCTCCTACCCTAACCCTCCATTAGCGTTCAGGCCAGGGAGCCTATAGGACTTACTTCTATGCGTGCGCCCCTCCTTACCCAACCCTCCATTAGCGTTGCCAGGCAGGTAGCCTATAGGGACTACTTCTATGCGTTGCGCCTCCTACCCTAACCCTCCTTAGAGTTCAGGCAGGTAGGCCTATAGGACTACTTCTATGCGGGCGCCTCCTTACCCCTAACCTAACCCCATTAGCGGTCCCCCCCAGGCAGGTAGCCTATAGGACTACTCTCTATGCGTTGCGCCTCCTTACCCTAACCCTCCTATTAGCGTCAGGCCAGGTAGCCTATAGGAACTACTTCTCTGCGTGCGGCCTCTTAACCTAACCCTAACCCTCCATTAGCGTTCAGGCCAGGTAGATCCTTAGGGACATACTTCTAATGCGTGTCGGCCTCCTTACCCTAACCCTAACCCTCCATTAGCACTAACCCTAACCCTAACCCTCCATTAGCACTAACCCTAACCCTAACCCTCCATTAGCACTAACCCTAACCCTAACCCTCCATTAGCGTTCAGGCCAGGTAGCCTCTAGGACTACTTCTATGCGTGCGCCTCTTTACTCAACATTGATAGAAGCGCTCCAAACAAAACACAAGGACTAAATTGACTAAACTCATAAATTGAATTAAATAAACTAAAACTTGTTTCTCACAAGTGTAGCATAGGTTGTGCACTCTGCAAATAATGTGTCCACTCCGACAATGATAACGGGAAGACTGGAATAATATTATTGAATGGATTAACAGAAATTACCGTAACCAAAGTAACAAACATTGTAGATTAGAAATGATAGGAATGAACGGTAAATGTACTACTGGTGATATATGGAATGGGGAATTGATATACACTAACAATCAAACGCAAACAATTTATACAATGAAGTTATGAAACAATGAATGTGCACAAATTGGCGGGAGAGAGCGCATTCTGGAGAGAGAAGTGCCTTGTGCATCTGGGCGCCTGGTTAATCCCACGCATTGGCCAGGCAGTATTTACGGTGATACGGCCTCAGCAGAAGGCAGGGCATGGTTAATCCCACGCATTGGCCAGGCAGCATTTACGGTGATACGGCCTCAGCAGAAGGCAGGGCATGGTTAATCCCACGCATTGGCCAGGCAGCATTTACGGTGATACGGCCTCAGCAGAAGGCAGGGCATGGTTAATCCCACGCATTGGCCAGGCAGCATTTACGGTGATACGGCCTCAGCAGAAGGCAGGGCATGGTTAATCCCACGCATTGGCCAGGCAGCATTTACGGTGATACGGCCTCAGCAGAAGGCAGGGCATGGTTAATCCCACGCATTGGCCAGGCAGCATTTACGGTGATACGGCCTCAGCAGAAGGCAGGGCATGGTTAATCCCACGCATTGGCCAGGCAGCATTTACGGTGATACGGCCTCAGCAGAAGGCAGGGCATGGTTAATCCCACGCATTGGCCAGGCAGTATTTACGGTGATACGGCCTCAGCAGAAGGCAGGGCATGGTTAATCCCACGCATTGGCCAGGCAGCATTTACGGTGATACGGCCTCAGCAGAAGGCAGGGCATGGTTAATCCCACGCATTGGCCAGGCAGCATTTACGGTGATACGGCCTCAGCAGAAGGCAGGGCATGGTTAATCCCACGCATTGGCCAGGCAGCATTTACGGTGATACGGCCTCAGCAGAAGGCAGGGCATGGTTAATCCCACGCATTAGCCAGGCAGCATTTACGGTGATACGGCCTCAGCAGAAGGCAGGGCATTCATACTTATTGCGCTTTGCGGAGCAGTGCAGAGCTGTTGTCAAGGAAGTGAGTTTGTGTTTTCTACAGGATGTACCGCCCCCACCTACCGTCAACCAATCATGTCAATGCGGTGCTTTGCAGAACCCTCCGGAGCTCGATTTGGCCTCTGCACGCCTCTGGAGGCTCCGCAATTGCGTCACACCCTCCATTTGGAGCCTCTGACCACATTTTCAGATCAAGCATAAATTGGCTTTTAGTCTAGGCCTCCCCAATAGGCTCACCGCCATTGGACTCTGGAGCAGTGGAAACGCGTTCTCTGGAGTGATGAATCACGCTTCACCATCTGGCAGTCTGACGGACGAATCTGGGTTTGGCGGATGCCAGGAGTACGCTATCTGCCCGAATGCATAGTGCCAACTGTAAAGTTTGGTGGATGAGGAATAATGGTCTGGGGCTGTTTTTCATGGTTCAGGCCACTTAGTTCTAGTGATGTTCCAACATCTAGTGGAAAGCCTTCCCAGAAGACTGGAGGCTGTTATAGCAGCAAAGGGGGACCAACTCCATATTAATGGCCATGATTTTGGAATGAGATGTTGGAGGAGCAGGTGTCCACATACCTTTGTCCATGTCGTGTAACTGTCTATCAACTACTACAACACCTCCTGCTAAATGAAACCCAGCACCACTACATTTGAGACATTTAGCAGACACTCTTATCCAGATTAGGATTAAGTGCCTTGCTCAAGGGCACATCAGGAGATTTTTCACCTAGTCTGCACTGGGATTCAAACCAGCGACCTTTTGATTACTGGCCCAACGCCCTAACCACTAGGCTACCTGCCCCACTACCAATGTGAGTTCCAAATGGCACCCTATTCCCTATAGAGTGAATTAGGGGCTCTGGTAAAACAGTGGTAGGGAATGGGGTGGCATTTGGGACACAGTGCTAGACTGCTCCACTAAAACACCTCAACACATATACAGGCTGGGGTTCTGGTCCACTAAAACACCTCAACACATATACAGGCTGGGGTTCTGGTCCACTAAAACACCTCAACACATATACAGGCTGGGGTTCTGGTCCACTAAAACACCTCAACACATATACAGGCTGGGGTTCTGGTACTAATCAGCTAAGGCTTCAATCCTAGCTCTGTCTAGCACTAGTTTGTTTTTTTTTCACCTTTATTTAACCAGGTAAGGCAGTTGAGAACAAGTTCTCATTTACAACTGCGACCTGGCCAAGATAAAGCAAAGCAGTGCGATAAAAACAACACAGAGTTACATATGGGGTAAACAAAACATAAAGTCAAAAATACAACAGAAAAATATATATACAGTGTGTGCAAATGTAGTAAGTTATGGAGGTAAGGCAATAAATAGGCCATAGTGCAAAATAATTACAATGTACTGGAATGATAAGATGTGCAAGAGATGATGTGCAAATAGAGATACTGGGGTGCAAAAGAGCAAAATAAATAACAATATAGGGATGAGGTAGTTGGGTGGGCTAATTTCAGATGGGCTGTGTACAGGTGCAGTGATCGGTAAGCTGCTCTGACAACTGATGCTTAAAGTTAGTGAGGGAGATAAGACATCCTCTAACATTGACAATGGCTGAATATCAACTGCCATCATTTCTGTAATCAGCGCTGTGATTGTCTCACTCTTTCATCATTGCACCTGTACTGTCACTTTAGCTCAATTTCAGTTGTCATTTCATCACCTTCTCATTTAACGTCTCAAAATATTGCCATACAGGGCTTGGCTGCGCTCCCTTCCCTGTCTCACTCGGACATTTTTCCAAATGACGATGACGTGCGGAGGGCATTATATCCGTGGCAAATCATCTGAAAGATGCATATGTCCTCCGACTAACGTTACAGCATTGTTGCATTATTTAGTTTTTTCCTTTATGATGATCGGGCTTGTTAGTAGTAGTTTTGTGATAACTGCACTGTGATTGAAACTTTTTTTTTTTTTTTTTTTTATCAGTTTTTCGGTTAGGGATTTTTTTCTTAACGTTAAAGATCCCAATGTGGTTTAAAGGTTCCCACCCCTAATGGCCAGGGCACATTCCTGTCACTTTATTGAGCTGGCCTGCTTCAATCTCCTCAGAGTAGAAGCAGTACCAGTCAGTAAGCAGCAGTTCACTCTCCTCTGACTGGTGTAGATGCATTGGGGTGATGGTGTTCAGTGTTGCTGTAGCGCACCAAGGCAAGATAGGCTTATAGCCATGTAAAGAGCGCCCTCTTCAGCACAAATATTAAAACAATCAACTAAATTGAGCATTTTCTCATATCGGTCCTTTTCGGTGTATAAAACACTGATACAAATCCAACCATAAAAAGGCTAATATCATACAACTCCATCCATAAAAGGCTGATATCATACAACTCCATCCATAAAAGGCTGATATCGTACAATAACATCAGCTTTATAAACATACACATGGCAAAAACTTCCCACTTAGCATGTTGAAATAGACTAGCAACAATCTTTCGGAACCAAAGGAAGTGAAACTCTTTAAGAGGAAGCCTTTTCACTTGAGAAAATATCAACTGCATTGTGAATGTGAACCAAACCATCAGCTAGCCCCACTCATTCAAACAGCGGACGAGGATGGATAGATTGATAGAAAACCTGAGACTGTTCCTACCTTTCTGGCAGTGGTTGGAGGTCCAGCAGCGATAGTTGAAGTTGTCATTGAAGCTGGTCTTGATGCATTGAGGGTTATCCTCCATGATGCCAGGACACACATCCCCACACTCCTTACTCTGTTTATTCCCTGCTATGAAGTTATTCAACTCAGCATCCATTATAAGAGACCAGTCCACAGAGTCCAGATAGCAGAGCTCAGGGTTCTTCTCGATCCGAATGGCTCCTCTAGTGATGTTCTGGAGGCTGTAGAGGCCGATGTCCTTCAGAGAGGTCATCTCAAAGATCACCAGGGCGTAGTTATAAAAGAGGTTACGCCCTCGGATCACCGTGAGGTTGGGGAACAGGGTGGACAAGGAGTCCAGGCCCGAGACTCTGAATACAAATAAAATCAAAACTTTGTTTAAAGTGCATTTAAAACTGCGGCAACACACTTTACAGTAAAACAACAACAACATGAAGGAGATAACAGAAAAACAAGCAGGAATAATCAAAGAGATGAATAAAAGGAATAAGAGTGAAATCGTTGAGAAGAGGAGGTGGAAGGTGTGTGTCTGGTCCGCTAACCTGAACAGCAGCAGGTAGTCCGTGATCATGGTGAGTTTGGGGAAGGACAGCGATCGGAAGACTTCCTGGTTGATGTTGTAGTTCTTGTCTCCTATTAGGAGGATCTGGAGGTAGCCCTCCACGATCGTACAATTCTCCAGGCGACGGAACTCACTGATGTCATTACCGATGTCGATGCTGGGACCACAAACTGGACAGGAGAGAGAAAAACAATGGAAGAGACTTTATGTACTTTTCAATTTCATCTAAACCCCAATAAAGAATTCTAGAGAGCTGGAGAAACAGACTTAGCCTAACATAATGGTAGTTTTCATGCTAGGGATGGGGGTTTGAAATCATTTCACTATTCGAATATCCAGATATTGTAATTACATGTTGTTTACATAAGCCAGAAGGTTAGTTAAGGCTAAAAAATGAAAGGAGATTGTTTAGTCGACCTATAATGCAAACGTCTAGCAACCCAAAGGTTGCGTGTTCGAATCTCATCACTGACAACTTTTGCAACTTTTCAACTACTTACTACTTGTTTGCTACTTAGCAACTACTTAGCATGTTAGCTAACCCTTTTAGCTAACCCTTTCCCTAATTTAACTCCTAACCAACGTTAGCCACAACTAATTGGAATTCTTCATTTATACATTTAGAAAATTCGTAACATATTGTATGTTTTGCAAATTCATAACATATCATGCGAAATGTAATTCGTAACATCCACAAATGAATACAGACCATACGAAAGGTAACATATTATAGTAAATGGACAATCTCGGATTTCCGTCCAGAAGAATAGGAAATGTTCAGACAACAGGTTGTCCCTGTAGGTAAATGTTCAGACAACAGGTTGTCCCTGTAGGTAAATGTTCAGACAACAGGTTGTCCCTGTAGGTAAATGTTCAGACAACAGGTTGTCCCTGTAGGTAAATGTTCAGACAACAGGTTGTCCCTGTAGGTAAATGTTCAGACAACAGGTTGTCCCTGTAGGTAAATGTTCAGACAACAGGTTGTCCCTGTAGGTAAATGTTCAGACAACAGGTTGTCCCTGTAGGTAAATGTTCAGACAACAGGTTGTCCCTGTAGGTAAATGTTCAGACAACAGGTTGTCCCTGTAGGTAAATGTTCAGACAACAGGTTGTCCCTGTAGGTAAATGTTCAGACAACAGGTTGTCCCTGTAGGTAAATGTTCAGACAACAGGTTGTCCCTGTAGGTAAATGTTCAGACAACAGGTTGTCCCTGTAGGTAAATGTTCAGACAACAGGTTGTCCCTGTAGGTAAATGTTCAGACAACAGGTTGTCCCTGTAGGTAAATGTTCAGACAACAGGTTGTCCCTGTAGGTAAATGTTCAGACAACAGGTTGTCCCTGTAGGTAAATGTTCACTACGTTTCATTCAACTAACAATGGGTCGCCTCATGCTAGAACAAGATCAACTATTGGGACCAAAGAGATGTGCAGTTGTGTATTAAGATGACGTAGAAAATATTGTATATACAGTATTCATTTATCAATTAGCTAGTAGTTAGCTAGAAAACGTTATAAAACACTTACTTTCTCCATTTGCGCCCCGAAGGCAGATCGCGGAGACACACAGCAGCAGACCACAGAACAAGGTCAAACCATCCTTTTCTGTGTTAGACTTCATTCCTGTCAAATAAAACTTCCTCCCAGCGTCAGAAACAAAAACGGGAATGACCCAATTAATGAATGGTGCCAATAAGGCTTCCCAGTCCACAAAAAGGCCAAGAACGTGGACCAAAGTGAACAAACAAAAAAAGCGTTGCTAACTGACTTGTATTCCCAAGTGTTGACTTGTTAGCAACGTCGGCAAGCCAGAGACAAGCTAGCCTAATGCTAGCAGACCAACGGTCGCCTAATGCTAGCCCGCTAGCCCCGTACTAGCAGACCAACGGTCGCCTAATGCTAGCCCCGTACTAGCAGACCAACGGTCGCCTAATGCTAGCCCGCTAGCCCCGTACTAGCAGACCAACGGTCGCCTAATGCTAGCCCGCTAGCCCCGTACTAGCAGACCAACGGTCGCCTAATGCTAGCCCGCTAGCCCCGTACTAGCACACCAACGGTCGCCTAATGCTAGCCCGCTAGCCCCGTACTAGCAGACCAACGGTCGCCTAATGCTAGCCCGCTAGCCCCGTACTAGCAGACCAACGGTCGCCTAATGCTAGCCCGCTAGCCCCGTACTAGCAGACCAACGGTCTCCGTCTCCTGTGCTGAGGAATGTCTTGGATCCACTGCGGGGTGATTTCAACCAGCAGGAAAACTACGATGCTTGGTCTTCGGCCGCTATCATAGAATTATCACAATCCCTCAACGTTTGGTTATTCCAGCCAACCACCCAGTGATGTATGAAATGTTATAGAAAAACATGCGTCAGGAATGTCTATCAGTTGACAATCCGCATCTTCCGACTCCATTTATTAAAAACCAAATGCCACTTTGCTCGCTCGGCGAGGGAGACAATCCTCAGACGTGGACGAGAGAGCAGGCTTGGCTCGGGTTGGCGAGGGAGACTATCCCCAGCCGTGGACGAGAGAGCAGGCTTGGCTCGGGTTGGCGAGGGAGACTATCCCCAGCCGGGGACGAGAGAGCAGGCTTGGCTCGGGTTGGCGAGGGAGACTATCCCCAGACGGGGACGAGAGAGCAGGCTTGGCTCGGGTTGGCGAGGGAGACTATCCCCAGCCGGGGACGAGAGAGCAGGCTTGGCTCGGGTTGGCGAGGGAGACTATCCCCAGCCGGGGACGACAGAGCAGGCTTGGCTCGGGTTGGCGAGGGAGACTATCCCCAGACGGGGACGAGAGAGCAGGCTTGGCTCGGGTTGGCGAGGGAGACTATCCCCAGCCGTGGGACGAGAGAGCAGGCTTGGCTCGGGTTGGCGGGAGAAGATCCCCCGGGACGAGAGAGCAGGCTTGGCTCGGGTTTGGCGAGGGAGACTATCCCCAGCCGGGGACGAGAGAGCAGGCTTGGCTCGGGTTGGCGAGGGAGACTATCCCCAGCCGTGGACGAGAGAGCAGGCTTGGCTCGGGTTGGCGAGGGAGACTATCCCCAGCCGGGGACGAGAGAGCAGGCTTGGCTCGGGTTGGCGAGGGAGACTATCCCCAGCCGGGGACGAGAGAGCAGGCTTGGCTCGGGTTGGATGGCCGTATGCTTTAGCTAGCACATGAATGAAAAACGCGCCCTTCCGGAGTCAGCCACATGATGTTTGATCCAAAATATCCGCCAGGACGAAAATCAATTCAACAACTGCAGCCCCGGTGTCTTCACCCGCCGCTCATACAGGCAAAAACGGGATTATTTCAATATATTGAATGTTCGTTCAGATTCAGACCCTTGTAGTATCTCTGCTTTTAGTAATCCATTTTAAACCGTTTTCTTATCTCTAACAACGTCAGTCAGCGTCTACACATCACGGTGTAGTCCTCTCAGTGGGATGGATTCAGCGCCGTAAACAAGGCTGTAGGTGTCTTTCAACCTCACCGTAGGCTGCTACATTCAGCTAGGCTGGAAGGAAAACCTGGAGAGAACTCCAACCACACACCGTAGGCTGCTACATTCAGCTAGGCTGGAAGGAAAACCTGGAGAGAACTCCAACCACACACCGTAGGCTGCTACATTCAGCTAGGCTGGAAGGAAAACCTGGAGAGAACTCCAACCACACACCGTAGGCTGCTACATTCAGCTAGGCTGGAAGGAAAACCTGGAGAGAACTCCAACCACACACCGTAGGCTGCTACATTCAGCTAGGCTGGAAGGAAAACCTGGAGAGAACTTCAACCACACACCGTAGGCTGCTACATTCAGCTAGGCTGGAAGGAAAACCTGGAGAGAACTTCAACCACACACCGTAGGCTGCTACATTCAGCTAGGCTGGAAGGAAAACCTGGAGAGAACTCCAACCACACACCGTAGGCTGCTACATTCAGCTAGGCTGGAAGGAAAACCTGGAGAGAACTCCAACCACACACCGTAGGCTGCTACATTCAGCTAGGCTGGAAGGAAAACCTGGAGAGAACTCCAACCACACACCGTAGGCTGCTACATTCAGCTAGGCTGGAAGGAAAACCTGGAGAGAACTCCAACCGCACACCGTAGGCTGCTACATTCAGCTAGGCTGCTACATTCAGCTAGGCTGGAAGGAAAACCTGGAGAGAACTCCAACCACACACCGTAGGCTGCTACATTCAGCTAGGCTGGAAGGAAAACCTGGAGAGAACTATAACCGCACACCGTAGGCTGCTACATTCAGCTAGGCTGGAAGGAAAACCTGGAGAGAACTCCAACCTCACACGGTAGGCTGCTACATTCAGCTAGGCTGGAAGGAAAACCTGGAGAGAACTCCAACCGCACACCGTAGGCTGCTACATTCAGCTAGGCTGGAAGGAAAACCTGGAGAGAACTCCAAACGCACACCGTAGGCTGCTACATTCAGCTAGGCTGGAAGGAAAACCTGGAGAGAACTCCAACCGCACACGGTAGGCTGCTACATTCAGCTAGGCTGGAAGGAAAACCTGGAGAGAACTCCAACCACACACCGTAGGCTGCTACATTCAGCTAGGCTGGAAGGAAAACCTGGAGAGAACTATAACCGCACACTGTAGGCTGCTACATTCAGCTAGGCTGGAAGGAAAACCTGGAGAGAACTCCAACCTCACACGGTAGGCTGCTACATTCAGCTAGGCTGGAAGGAAAACCTGGAGAGAACTCCAACCGCACACCGTAGGCTGCTACATTCAGCTAGGCTGGAAGGAAAACCTGGAGAGAACTCCAAACGCACACCGTAGGCTGCTACATTCAGCTAGGCTGGAAGGAAAACCTGGAGAGAACTCCAACCACACACCGTAGGCTGCTACATTCAGCTAGGCTGGAAGGAAAACCTGGAGAGAACTCCAACCGCACACGGTAGGCTGCTACATTCAGCTAGGCTGGAAGGAAAACCTGGAGAGAACTCCAACCTCACACGGTAGGCTGCTACATTCAGCTAGGCTGGAAGGAAAACCTGGAGAGAACTCCAACCGCACACCGTAGGCTGCTACATTCAGCTAGGCTGGAAGGAAAACCTGGAGAGAACTCCAAACGCACACCGTAGGCTGCTACATTCAGCTAGGCTGGAAGGAAAACCTGGAGAGAACTCCAACCACACACCGTAGGCTGCTACATTCAGCTAGGCTGGAAGGAAAACCTGGAGAGAACTCCAACCGCACACGGTAGGCTGCTACATTCAGCTAGGCTGGAAGGAAAACCTGGAGAGAACTCCAACCTCACACCGTAGGCTGCTACATTCAGCTAGGCTGGAAGGAAAACCTGGAGAGAACTCCAACCGCACACCGTAGGCTGCTACATTCAGCTAGGCTGGAAGGAAAACCTGGAGAGAACTCCAAACGCACACCGTAGGCTGCTACATTCAGCTAGGCTGGAAGGAAAACCTGGAGAGAACTTTAACCGCACACCGTAGGCTGCTACATTCAGCTAGGCTGGAAGGAAAACCTGGAGAGAACTTTAACCGCACACCGTAGGCTGCTACATTCAGCTAGGCTGGAAGGAAAACCTGGAGAGAACTCCAACCACACACCGTAGGCTGCTACATTCAGCTAGGCTGGAAGGAAAACCTGGAGAGAACTCCAACCGCACACCGTAGGCTGCTACATTCAGCTAGGCTGCTACATTCAGCTAGGCTGGAAGGAAAACCTGGAGAGAACTCCAACCACACACCGTAGGCTGCTACATTCATCTAGGCTGGAAGGAAAACCTGGAGAGAACTTCAACCACACACCGTAGGCTGCTACATTCAGCTAGGCTGGAAGGAAAACCTGGAGAGAACTCCAACCGCACACCGTAGGCTGCTACATTCAGCTAGGCTGGAAGGAAAACCTGGAGAGAACTCCAACCGCACACCATAGGCTGCCACATTCAGCTAGGCTGCTACATTCAGCTAGGCTGGAAGGAAAACCTGGAGAGAACTCCAACCACACACCGTAGGCTGCTACATTCAGCTAGGCTGGAAGGAAAACCTGGAGAGAACTCCAACCGCACACCGTAGGCTGCTACATTCAGCTAGGCTGCTACATTCAGCTAGGCTGGAAGTAAAACCTGGAGAGGATTTCAACCACACACCGTAGGCTGCTACATTCAGCTAGGCTGGAAGGAAAACCTGGAGAGAACTTCAACCACACACCGTAGGCTGCTACATTCAGCTAGGCTGCTACATTCAGCTAGGCTGGAAGGAAAACATGGAGAGAACTATAACCGCACACCGTAGGCTGCTACATTCAGCTAGGCTGGAAGGAAAACCTGGAGAGAACTCCAACCTCACACGGTAGGCTGCTACATTCAGCTAGGCTGGAAGGAAAACCTGGAGAGAACTATAACCACACACCGTAGGCTGCTACATTCAGCTAGGCTGGAAGGAAAACCTGGAGAGAACTTCAACCACACACCGTAGGCTGCTACATTCAGCTAGGCTGCTACATTCAGCTAGGCTGGAAGGAAAACCTGGAGAGAACTTTAACCACACACCGTAGGCTGCTACATTCAGCTAGGCTGGAAGGAAAACCTGGAGAGAACTCCAACCGCACACGGTAGGCTGCTACATTCAGCTAGGCTGGAAGGAAAACCTGGAGAGACTTCAACCGC